GAGAGTGAGTAAATGGCAGAATTTTCATTTTAGGGTGAATTATCCCTTTAATGTTTATAAAACGACAAAACACAAAGAGAAACATCATTCACTGCTCTTAACTGAAGAACTTTGAGTTGCTTTAATAAGAATCAATATATAATTTATACAGTGAAGTGTATATAGTGTTTTATATTTGTTCATTCAGTTTCTTGAACTGCTAAATACACCTACTGTACATGAAAAATAAAAGTTTGTAAATCAGTATTTTTAATGTGTGTATTTATTATTTTTTAATAATAAAAGAATCGTGATAAAATCATGAATTGTGATTTTCCTGAAAAAAATCATGATATATTTTTGCCATATCGCCCACCCCTACATGGAGTATGTGCGCACATCTAGAGTCACATCCAGCTTATAAAAGACCGGAATTATGAGTCATGCTAGTTTAGCTGTTTCAGCTATGGTTGGAATGGCATTCTTTCTGCAAAGTATGATAATTTTCTGCATAGAGTAGCCATACACTACATTTCCCAAAGTGTAAAGTATACAACAAGAGCACACTACATTGCATGAATTATTTTTGTGGAAACTGGACACCACTAGCTGAATTAAATATGCATGTAATGAGGTCATGTAATGTAACAAAAAGTTTTTTTTTATTATTAAGTTATACTCTGCGTGTACTTAGCAGTAAGCAGTATGATAGAATGCTAATATTCCAGTTCAAGCCTTTTTGTTAGTTACATGTACAATTGTGTGATGAAATGCATATGAAAGTAAGCACACCTGGTCTGTGTGCGGAGCTTGATTGTGCGTGTAGGTGTGGCATCGTGCCACCTGCCCTGTTAATACTGCTGTTGTTTTGTGATCTTGTCCATCTTTTGAAGTAAGCACATTGTTCTCTCTCTATCTCTGTCTCTTTCTCTCGTTCTGGATGGCCTCTGTATCTCGTACCCCCACCATAACTCCCCCCAAGGGGATCATGCTCTGAGGTTGCCATGGAGACTGGGTTGGCTCACAATAGCAAGTGTGTGTGCGTGTGCGTGTGCGTGTGTGTGTGTGTGTGTGTGTGCGTGTGTGTGTGTGTGTGTGTGTGTGTGTGTGTGTATGAGAGCGAGAAAGATCAGATCTGTATCTCTCACCTCCTGCGTCAAACATTTGTGAAACATTGTGTTGGTGAGGAGGTATTTTGATCTGTTTTTTGTTTGCAAATCTACATTTATAGTTATCACAAAGCATGAGTGTAAGTGTGATGAATGAGCAGCTCCGCAGCTGGAGAGTTTGAACGATGGAGTCTGCACACACTGAGGACTTTGAAGTGTCTATCAATAGTGTGTATAATTGTAAGCGTTGGTGTTGAGAGCAGTTTGTAGAAATGAAACCTGGTTTGGGATGGATGGATATGTGACATGCTCATATGATGACCTCACCCACAGGAAGACGCACGGACCGACGCCGTGGACAGTGTGGTCAGGGACATTCAAAACACACAGTGTCTGCTGAATGTTGAATACAGTGGAATTGTCTGCCCGCACGTCACGCTGCAGTTTGCTGACTCGAAAGATGATGTGGGTCTGGGTCTGGTGAAAGAAGGCCTTGTAATGGTGGACGTACGGAAAGAGAAGCACCTCCAGAAAATGGTAAGTGACAAACATGCGCATGCATCTAATACAAGAACCCAAATAGTGAGAGTGGAGCCACTGGTCAGATAGTTTGAGCCGGAGGTGGCGTTGGCTTTAACTGGGATCTGTAATCTTTGTGCCCTGAAATGCACCTCACTGTTTCACAGCAGGGCCTCTGATGGCAGCCGTTTTGTATTATTATGAATCCACAGTCCGTCTAGCATGAGATGGCCGTTTTTAAGGACAGTACTAGCACTTTAGTATAGTGTGGTGGCGGCGCCATGCCACTTGTCTTCTGTCTGCTTCTGCTTTCACCCTTGGCTATTTCATAAAGATTCTCTCATCTCACTCTCTCCTTCATTCATTTTCTCATTCATTATCTCTCCCACTCACGCTGTCTTTCTCTGTCCTTCTCTCTCTCCTTCCCCATCTTTTCTTGCGGCTGGTTTGGCCTCCAGTGCAGCACGTCGTGTGCAGGAGGATGTAGTTTAGAAATTTAGATGTATTTGCATGTCGGTGAAAGCGGTGTGATAAAGAATTAAAGACAAATCATGTGGATCAAACCTTTCATTCCTTCGTAAATTAGCTGTGATTTAAAACACTGTTAATACACAGTGATTATTTGCACTGCCTTCATAATACACAGTGCCAAACCACCTGTGACCACCTCCCCCCCACTCCTTTGTCTTTCTTTTGATATTTTATTCCTTTTAAACACACTGTGCTCTGTGATCTTTTTTTCCCTACGTCCTCTCTGCTGCTGAAGGGTATCTGCCATGCTTGACACCTGACTTCCTGCTATCAGCAAATCTTTACTCTGCTGAAGTCTACAAGAGTCCATACGTCAGTCAGTCAGTCACATTCACTGTGGTCTAGTGCAAAAAACAAGTCCTTGGAAATCTGTATAAGTCGAACGAAAGAGGGAAAGGAAATCTTTAGAGTGAAAGTAGGAGTCAGATATGGGAACATCTGTCTGGCAGAGAGAGAGTGACAGATAAGGCCAACCGGTTCTCTTTCTCTCCACCTGCGTGCAGATAACGCAGGCCTTCCGATAAGTGTGCATGAGCTTCATCAGTTCTCGGGATTGATAGTCGAAATCAATGTGTCATTTCCCTCCCTGTGTTTGTCAAACACTGCTCTTTCTTATTTGTGTGTCAGTCTGTCTCTCTTTCTCTGATTTTCTTTCTCATCCTGGCATGCCGGATGAGATGTCTGTAAAAACCTAGTGTGCTGCCTAGTGCCTACCTATACATTTTAAGGCATCACTTGTGGGCTTCACATGCAAAGGCTGTTCCAACATTATGCTGCCTTATTAGAGCCTTCTTTCTGCCAAATTCTGAGGCAACACTGCATGCACACTTTGCAGAGAAGGCAAGAATGCATTGCAACAAAGTCAGTGAAAATAAACTAATCCAAGATGACAGATGAGTCCAGAGAAATAATTATAAATTTTTATTTAAATTTTTTAACAAGACAGCTCACAGGGGTTGAAACAGAGCTTCTATGCATTTATGCTACACCAGCGCTAAGCTTACTGTACCGTACCCTCAGTGACAATGGTGCCTTTTCACGTTCATTACTTTTACAAGCTAATTACAAACTCACATACCAATTAGGGATACAGTCATAGAATGCAGTAGGGGTTGCACCGACTAGTCGACTTCAATGCTCTGCCATGAAGCTTTAAGCTTGATGTTGGCTAGTCGCTGGTCCTGTAGAGGGCGCAACAGGATAAGAAATATTTGAAGGACTTCCACATTTACGCTCCGTTTCCAAACAGTTAAAATGACAAATAAATGCATACTCTGAAAGTGCTCCATAAGACATGCGTTATTATATTACTGGATGGTCGAAATTGTATAGGAGAATGCACGTTTTAAACAGCTTATTGTACAGGTAAGTTAAAGGTGCAGTAGGAGATCTTGGAAAATGCTAACTTTAGCCTGATAGCACTGAAAGCGAACGTCCCACCCTCCCTGCAATCGCCGTCCAAAGCCACGTCCCCTGAACACATTTACGCTCACAGACCAGAATACCAGAGACAGCATTGCTACAATAGGCTACATCAGTGGTTCCCAATTCCAGCCCATGTTCCGAAATGAAGTAAATTTCAATGGATTTCCCCCGCTCAAGGAGTAGGGAGCAATGAACACTATGTATGGATCATATCGATCGGAACACAGTTCATGCACGTAGCTCTTCTAACAAGCTGGTTATCTGAATCGGGTGTGTTAACTAGGCGAGACATGCAAAATATGCAGAGCGGGCGCGAGGACTGATTGGGAACCGCTGGGCTACATGTTTCATTCACCGGTGAGAAAACTTTAAAAGTACTACAATACCAGGAAGGAAGATCGGGTTGTTGATGTTTGTCTGCCATTCTCGCTCTGTCTGCACAGTGTGCGTGAACGCACTGATGACGTATCTTGTCTGCGTGAACCAGGTTAGGGCTGGACAATAATTCAATATCAATATGTATCGCGATATCATTTTTTTCAATAACGGTGATATGATTTTTAAACACATTTCCGATATTTCGATATACATTACCAGTGTTTCCCATACATTGATTTATTTGTAGCGTTTGACTTCGTTGAATAAACATGAGCACTGCACGTTTCAAAATCATAACACGGCACGGGTGTTTTATATTAATGTATCTCTGAAGGGATTTTGTTGTATTTTGGATCAAACAAATGCCGACTTGGTCAGCAGAAGAGAATTCTTTCAAAAACTTTTGACTGGTATGTTAGCCTATAGTGTGAAGTAAAAAAATATTAATATTAATAAGGAGAGTCTGAGATTTATTTGACAGTGATTTCACATTTCTTGTTTGTATGAAGGCTGAATACCAATAAAAGGTGAACATTTATTTATTTGCGCCATTTTTTTCCTATAATATTATATAGTTTTATTGGAGTAGGTTTCATAGAGTTGGCTAATTAATTTTTCATGAGTTTGTAGGTACAGACATCTGTTGTGGCCGTTCTTGGCTGTTTTTATGAGGCTTTTTTAATAGTGTTCATATCGATATTGGAATTATATCGTATCGACCGAAATTAAGAAATATATCGTGATATAAATTTTGGCCATATCGTCCAGCCCTAGCAGAGGTATGCTAATACATACGTTGACAGGCAGGTAGGAAAGCCAATTAAAACGCTCGGACCAAGCGTTTTGATTGGGCGAACATTTCTTGGTCCTAGGCCTTCTACAGAATATATAAATACAGATAAATACATTTAGAGCACTCAACTTTTTGCTATTGGGATGTGAAAAGACTTTCAACCAGCATAACAAAAAATGTTTCTGAAGACAATCACCTATTGCACCTTTAATCGCCGTTCTAATCTAATGCGCTGCTGCACTGTAACTCACACATATGCTACAGACAGTAGCTCGTACATCACGCACACATCGCGCGCACAGAATCATTCAGAGCGGAAATGTATTGTTGACACTGTTCTGTGATTTCTCAATAAAATAGCTAAGAAACTGAAAAGTTCAAGCATATATTCCTTAGTAACTAAATCCCACAGCTTCACTACTAGTAGAGAGACGCTGCCAGGTAGAATTAATTCATACACGCAATCGCTCTCACTAATGCATTCATATGAATGTAATCTTTACTGTGCTACTTTATCTGTATCTGATTTAAAACGAGCAAAAATCTGAGAGAAATATACGACCCAAAGACAAAAGAACTGATAAAAATGAGTTGTTATAATGCGCTGCTGCACTGTAACTCACACATATGCTACAGACAGTAGCTCGTACATCACGCACACATCCCGCGCACACAGAATCATTCAGAGTGGAAATGTATTGTTGACACTGTTCTGTGATTTCTCAATAAAATAGCTAAGAAACTGAAAAGTTCAAGCATATATTCCTTAGTAACTAAATCCCACAGCTTCACTACTAGTAGAGAGACGCTGCCAGGTAGAATTAATTCATACACGCAATCGCTCTCACTAATGCATTCATATGAATGTAATCTTTACTGTGCTACTTTATCTGTATCTGATTTAAAACGAGCAAAAATCTGAGAGAAATATACGACCCAAAGACAAAAGAACTGATAAAAATGAGTTGTTATAGGAATAGCCATGTGGGCAGCGATGTGTCATATGCCATAGCTGTGCACAAGGTGTTTGTCACAGCTCCAGACTTATTTGTTCATTAATGACGTCATCAGCGACTAGTCAACTTCGACTCGACTTTCATCACATAAAAGTCAACTTTAAAAAATCAGAAGTCGTTCAACCCCTAGAATGCAGTCAGTCTTACTGGAGATTTGTTCTGTGAGATTCTCCTTAAGCATCCAGTATTTACTTAAATTGTTGATTTTAAAGGGGCTAAACCAGGGGTGTCCAAACTTTTTTTTAAAGGGGGGCCAGATTCGATGTTGTGGACACGCCTAGGGGCCGGATGCTTTTGTGTGTGTGTGTGTGTGTGTGTGTGTGTGTATATATAGTCATCAGCGACTAGTCAACTTCGACTCGACTTTCATCACATAAAAGTCAACTTTAAAAAATCAGAAGTCGTTCAACCCCTAGAATGCAGTCAGTCTTACTGGAGATTTGTTCTGTGAGATTCTCCTTAAGCATCCAGTATTTACTTAAATTGTTGATTTTAAAGGGGCTAAACCAGGGGTGTCCAAACTTTTTTTTAAAGGGGGGCCAGATTCGATGTTGTGGACACGCCTAGGGGCCGGATGCTTTTGTGTGTGTGTGTGTGTGTGTGTGTGTGTGTGTGTGTGTGTGTGTGTGT